CCCGTGGTTCCTGCCCAGGTTTGGGGTTGCTGCCACCCCCCACGGCACCAGCTAGGACTTGGGGTGCCTGGGCTGAGGGCTGCTGCCCCTGCCACGGTTCCTGCACAGACTCCAGGTTTCTGCCCCTCCTGCTGGCTCCAGCCTGAGCTTGGGGTTTCAGCCACTGTGGCTCCTCTTGGGGCTCAGGGCACCTGAGCTCAGGGCTTCAGCCCCCGCAGCTCCTGCTGGGGCCCAGGGCTCCCACCCTGTGGCTCCTGCCAGGGCTGGGACACCCATTTTTCAAATTGTCTGGGGCCCCTGGGCACAGGCCCTATGGGCCCATGCATTAATCCACCACTGGCTCTGACTAGCGACTAGGAGCCCCTGGTTGGGGCTGCTCCCAGCAACACTGGTGAGATCAGGCCTACCTCCACCTCCGGGAGCCTCCTCCAGCTGCAGGAAACTCTGCAGCTGCTGCCTTCACAACTGGGCTCTGAAAGCAGCACAGAAGTAAGTATGGAAATCTTGCAACCCCCGTACAATGGCTTTGGGGCTCCCGCACAATCCCCTTTGGATCAGAACCCCCATGGTTAAAACACTGAAATTTCAGATGTAAACATCCAAAAAACATGAAATTGACCAATTAAGACCCTGTGGCCATGAAATTGACCAAAGTGAGCCATGAATTTGGTAGGGCCCTACTCATGGAGTTTAGCTTAATGACAGTCCAAACCAAAGGGTAATCAGGATTAGAAGAGGGGCTGTGGCTGGGGCAAGTAAGTGACTGTGTAAATAAGTTCCTTAAACAGAAGTTACATCTTTGAGAAGCTACCAATTTGCAGCAATGTTCTGCATTACTTTGGTGTTGGTTAGTTTTCATTTAATTCTGGTGGAGGGATAGCTCAGTGGTTTGAGCATTCACCTGCTAAACCCAGGGTTGTGAGTTCAATCCTCGAGGGGGACCACTTAGGAATCTGGGGCAAAATCAGTACTTGGTCCTGCTAGTGAAGGCAGGGGGCTGGACTCAATGACCTTTCAGGGTCCCTTCCAGCTCTAGGAGATAGGATCTGAGTCTTTCTAGTGCTGCAGGTAAGGTCTTAATATACCATAAACCTGTACTTGAGGCATGGACAGTGGGTGGAGCCCCCCTCTGGGAAGGCTAGCCCCCAGCTCCGCCCCTTCTGCCCTCGCCATGGCCGGAGGGGCAAGACACCCCCCCTGTGGCCAGAGCTGCCCGACACACACCCCTCCCCAGCCACAGGAGCCCCGAGCCTCCCTCCCCGGCCCAGAGAAGCTCCGGGCTGGCCAAATCCCTGGGCCCAGACGAGCCCCAGCTGTGCTGGCTGAAGCCCCAAGCGGATGAGCCAAGTCTTCCCTGCCTGAAGCCCCAAGCCGAGTCTTCCCTGGCCAAGCTGGCCAAAGCCCCGAGTCAAGCCTCCCCCCGGCCAGGAGCCTGGGGCTGGCTGCAGCCATCCCTCCCCTCCCAAGACCTAACCTGCCCACCACCCAGGGGAAAAAGCATCTGTAGAAGACGCTTTTAATATGCCCCATGTAGGTTCTGGGGCTGCTGAAGAGGCGGTATGTGCCTCCTCAGCCATCCCAGAACCTGCATAGGAAATAATAAAGCAAAAACTTCACTGCCAAACCCTGCAACCAGGGGTCCAGTGGACACAGCAGCACCAGGGGAGGCAGCACCTCTCCTGGCCTATTATACCCACCACCCATGACTTGAGGTAAACCAGGACTGAGTTATCTTCCCATTAGGCAATGTGGAAGCTCGGTCCATTTAAGTTTTCAAATCTGATCCAGTGAGACTATGATTAAGATGTTTCATCAAAGTTTTCTGTCTTTCTATCCAGCGTCAACTATGTGAGTGAACTGTCAGAGGAAAGCAGTTACACAGCCTGGGGGACAGGCTGTGGTGGCAGATAGGGTCCCACTTCAGGCACAGGTATACTTGTCCTGTTGTACTGTCCTGGGCTCAGACTCATCTGATCCACAGTGGGAACAGAAGATTAATGGGAAGACACTCATGGGCTGGAGAGATTCTGGGACAGGAAGAACTGTTGTCAAACCCCATGTAGTAAAACCCCATCAAATGATGAAAGAAAATCCTGGAAGATACAAAATAGAGAGGCAGAAATATTGGCATCACTAGCAAGCAGCACGGCCTACCAACTTGGATGTGTGTAACCTGGAACAAGACAAACAAGAACTATTCAGACTTAGTGTAAAAAAAATGTGGTGACATTTTCTTATGTCTGCAGATTGGAAAGATGCTAACTGACCCATTCAGCATAATAAATTATGTCTGCAACCTAAATTATCTTTACATGTCACTGTTAACTATTTACTTGCTTTTAGTATAAACATCCAACTAATATTTTCCTCACAGTCCTTTCCTGCCTCCCACAATTCCTCAAGTGCCAAACCCCTTCCGTCCATCTGTCAAAACCTCCAATTTAACAACTCAACCTAGCACTAGAACTTTATTCTCAAATCCCAATACCAAAAACAAGTAGAATGCACCAAATTCTCTCCTAACACACTTGAAACATGGGTGCATATTCAGAGCTTTATGTAGACTTCAACTGCATTTCTCACAAGAAAGGCTCTGCAGAGCCATTCATTTATTAGAGACACCACTGTAATACAATACGGAATTACGTTTAAGTATTTTAGGAGTTCATTGTATTAAAAATGCAAATGTTTATGTACTAACAAAGGATTGTATGTAATTCCATGAGGGAGACCACAACCCTCCAGGAACTAAGAACAGCAGGGGACAGTTAAGCAAATTCACTCAGGATGTAACACCTCCTCAGAGCTACGACCTGGAGAGGGGCTTGCATATATTGGTTCAAACTAGATTATACAGGGATCAGACAAAGAAAGGACTTTTGGTTAAATAGCCTGAGTTAAAAAGGACTCTCTGCCTTCCTTCTGATCCAGGAAACATAGGACCTAGGGAGCCCCAATCTTTAGGGACAGTTGGAAGGTCTTTGGCCCACTGCAACCCCATAAGATTTAGGTGTTTGTCTGAACTGAAGATGTGATCAACTTGTGTCCAAAGGAAAAACAACTGGGGGGGGGCAGGGTTTGAAGGACTAATCACCACCCTGAGCCCTTCTTGGAGTGAGGGGGTGATGTCTGGTAAGCTTATTAGCATGTGTGTAGATTCTTTTACTGTTTTTGAAGTGTTTTCACTGTAACGCTTGAGAAAAGCATTGAGAAAAGATGTGATTGTTCATAAAAGCAGTTTGGTAATCTAAAACTCTGGGCATATATACTACTATGTACCATCTCGGAGCAGAGACGCAAAGCAGGTCTGCTTAGACACTCTCTTATCCTGGGGAATAACACAGCAAAGGCAGGGAACTGTTCAGCCTGGAAATAGCCCAGTCCAGAGGGGGAGAAACATGTCTCCACCTATGAAAAGGAACAACTTAGAAGTCTGGAGCAGGTGCCCTTGCTGTATCACAGAGGGGAAATAAGGTGCAACTGCCCTGAACTGTGACAACCACCTCAAATCTTTCCAATAGGCCAACAACTAGTCTACATTAATGATCTACAGCAATAAACAGAGCACAGCCTTGTTTGAAGGCTGAGCCACCGGGGCGGGGGAAGGAGAAGAGACAACCCTTTCCTGAACAGTTCCTTGGCACGGCACGGGTGGAAAAACATTCATGATTGTAGAACTTCAGAGTAACAGATGCAACACAAAGGATAAGCACTTCCCCTGCAAATGTAATCTAGAATGCTCAGTGGAAAAGGTTTTTTCCTGCTCTGTGTTCATTTGTGGCCATAAGTAAATCTCACAAAAACAAGCAGGTCAGGGTATTTTGACTGAATGGATTATGAACTTGTTTACAGACTGTTTCAAGCTCCCACAGGCTGCCTATTTATTCGCTAGAATTCAAGTCCTGTCAGACTTAAAGGGCAATTAAATAAATTACTGAATCTCTTCTTTATTACCCACTCACCCCCCAAAAAATTATTCCAGTTCCAAATAGACAAAAACTGTGCACATGTTCAATGAACATCCAATTATGTCTACCCTAAACCTAAGGAAGTTGCAAAGCTGCACTGAAGTATAATGTTCTCTGTAATCTTGTAGTCACCACTAGAGGGCTTCCTTGCAACTCAATTTCCTAATGCTCACTTCAGCTCAGGCTTAAAACAGATTTACAGTTTCACAGAGAGCTCAATTACAGTCTGGAAGTTCAGACACTTACTTTCAGAAATAAGTTTAGAAATTCCCCATAAATTTTCCATCAAATAAAAAGCTTTGCAAATAACTTTTCGTACTTCTATGAATTATTTATATTGTGGTAGCACCTAGAGACCCCAATCACGTATCAGGGCCTGACTATGCTAGGCACTGTACAAAGAAGCAGTCCCTGTCCCAAAGAGCTTACATTCTACATGACATAAGGTGGATGATGATATAATATCTTTTATTGGACCAACTTATCTTGGCAAAAAGACAAACTTTTGAGCTTGACCAGAACTCTGAGTTTCCCAGACCTGAAGAACAACTCTATGAAAGCTCGAAAGCTTGTCTCTCTCACCAACAGACGTTGGTCCAATAAAAGATATTATCTCACCCATCTTGTGTCTCTAATATTTTGGGACCAACAGAGCTACAACACCACTACATTTTAAGCGTAAAAGGGGAGTTACAAAGAGATGAATAGGATCACTGCTTGTATCCTCAATCCCTGAAATTAAAAACAAACCAATAAAAACCCACCTTTTTCTGCCTGTGTATACTAGAAAGTGATATGAGACAATTTATCAATCTCACGACCTCAAAGGATGGCCCACTCTAAGGTGCTAATAGCATCCAACTTGAGCAGTAATTTTAGGATTATAGAGAAAGCTTTAGTTTGCCTCACTTCCAGAAATGGGTCTTTGGCCTTAGATATTCTGAAAAGAAACACTGGTTTCCATTTTATTTCAACATTCTGATGTCATGCTAATCATTATCACACACCCCTCTTGTGCCTGAGCTCACTTACGTTTTCAACGTTCCAGATGTCATGAGTTCTGTCACGAGAACAATACATTTCTTTCCCTTCACTGTAGACTCCCAGGAATCATAGAACCGAACAATATTAGGATGCTGGAGCCCTTTCAGCATTTCAGCTTCCTCCTTAAATCTCTGCCGCTCTGACTTTGACAGCTTCCGATCCTAGCAAAAAAAGAGAAGAGATTATATATAAAAACCTATACAAAGTAGTCCACTTTAACACATGGGAAGGGCAGCAAGCTGAAAAAGTGACAAGCTGCTGATTCTTGCACATTAGTAAGATTCTCCGATAAGCGGAGACTCTGAAGTCCACTCAGATTCATTCACTTACAAGCAATTCACTCCACCCAATTGTTATTCAATTGCATATTTCATGTTCGTTTTTTTTTAAATGCACTATATAAATGCAGATGCATTCTATTACTACAGCCTCTTACCGGATTTAGTAGTTTATGCCATACAATTGCTCTCTAGAGAGTCACTAGTCTTGGGGCTTGTGTACACTTACAGTACTGTGGCAGTGCAGCTGCACCAATGCAGTTGTAACACGTAGTGAAGAGGCTCTCCTTTTGGCATAGGTAGTTTTTCCTGTCGGCACAGGTACTACTCCACCTCCTCAAGGGTCAGTAGCTATGTCAATGGGAGAAGCCCTCCTGTCAACATAGCGTTATCTACGCCAGTGGTTAGGTTGGTATCTTCCACAGCCGAGCAATGTAGTTATACCATCATAGGTTTGTAATATTAACCAGGGCTCACATCCTCCGAGCCTATTATTCTCCCTACCCCCTGGCCAAAAATCAGATTCACAGCTACTAATGCTTAGGGGAAGGGGATACAGTGGTCCAATACATTTAAGGATCCCCAAATATTAAGAAATATGCTTCAGAATTGCCTCTTTTGTATGCAGACAGGGCCGGCTCTAGGCACCAGCTTACCAAGCAGGTGCTTGGGGCGGCCACACCAGAGAGGGGCGGCACGTCCGGCTCTTCGGCGGCAATTCGCCAGTGGGTCCTTCACTCCAGCTCTGAGCGAAGGACCTCCTGCCGAAGTGCAGCAGATCGCGATCGCGGCTTTTTTGTTTGTTTGTTTTCTGGTTTTTTTGGGAGGTGGCCGCTTGGGGCAGCAAAAACCCTGGAGCCGGCCCTGACTGCAGACTAAACATGTTAGGATTTCCCTGCTGCAAGAGGATCAATATCAAGAGTATAGGACTGAATTCTACATTTAGAGATTTAGGACTGGTCCACACCTAAAACCTAGGTTGAACTAGCGGTCAGTCAGGAGTGTTAATTATCTCTTGAGTGAGAAAACATAAGCCAGCCTAAGCCCCATTACAGACACTGCTATGTTGATGGAAGAATTCTTCCATCAGCTTAGCTGCCAGCTCTCAAGAGGATAGATTCACTACAGTACTTTGAAGTTGCAGCTCGGGCTCTGAAGCCAACAGAGGAAGGTTGGTCTTCAGAGTCCGAGTAGCAACTCCAAAGCGCTGTTTCTACAGCTACTTTTAGGGGACTAATCCATGCCCTGCTAGCCTGAATCTGTCAACTTGGGCTGGGAGGCTCGCTCCAAAATGTTATATAGACATTCCCTAAATGTGACTTCCCAATACTACTCAGATGCAGATGAAGACCTGTAGGATTGGTATAATTTACTTCGCTCAGGGGTGTGAACAAAGTAATTTGTAGTGTAGACATAGCCATAGTTATGGAGGAACTTAGGCTATTTTCCAGCGGGAACATTATAATTTAAAGACAAGTGCAAGAAGCGTAAAGATTTTCCAGATGAAAATGAAGAAAAAAAAATCAAAACACTCTTAAAGGTCTTCAGAACTCTTAACTATAAGTTACACGTACAGCTCACCATTACCTACTTTGTAAAAACTACTCAACCACAATGGCCTACTTTAAAACATGTCTATCTCAAATATTGAATTACCGGTATATTTTATAATCCTGTTTAAGCATTATCCTAAAACAAAAGAATGAAGTGATATGACTGAAGGGTTATACGACAAGCTATTTGGCTTATAGGTAACTTAACATTCAATATTACTAATTCTTCCCATTTCAGGAATGAATGCATGCCAATTTTTGTTACTTTCCAAGTAAAAACAGAACATACACTTGCCAAAGACACATATGCAATAAGCTTATATGTTTATAGATCTTGTACATCTCAAGTGTAGATTTGATTTTGCAGTCTGACTGTGAGACTAAAGACCTTTCTGTCCCCTAGAAATAAGTAAGACAGTAAAGGCTCCAGGTAAGGACCAGTTAAAGGTTAAATAGCACTTGTTTCTACAATATGAATGAATGAATGGCAGTAAAAGCCATGCACCATATTTTTAAACACACAATCTGCATATCTGTGTATCAGCAGAACTGCATCATATCACATGCTTCCTGGGAGAAGCCCTCAATATTTGGGCCAATACATAAAACCTCCAGTATGAGACTCTATTCTCAATGTCGGGTGTATCATGTTCCTGGCCACTGCTCCATGACCTGGACTCCAAATAAATATATTTATTTAAAGTATCTATGTACTTGTGTTGATACTACACAATAAATATTCACATACTGAAACGAGTTTAGTTTGCAGATTGTCCAAAAACCAAAAAGAAATATTTAGACTGTATTTTAGACCAGCTTTTATTATTGAAAAAGTCTATCAAGCTTTTAAGTTTATAATAAACAATTATAGCCGCAAACTTAGCAAAACCATTCAAGACTAAGTCAGGAAACAACCTTTTCTCTCTTTACTACTGTCTTGAGTTTCTCTGTTAAAATTGGCTAAAAGCATTCCAAATGCTAGAGTTTCCTAGGTGTATAGCATTCATGAGAATGCATTTTTAAAAATAAAAAATTATGCTACCTAAAGTGATGTACCACAAACTTTGCTAATAATCAGTTTTAGACCATAACTCTGTTACATTAAGTTCGCACATTGTAACTACCCAACATCTAATCTCAAACTCAGATGATTCAACTTCCTCACATCATTGCAATACTACCACCAAAGCTCAGAATGGAATTTAACTAGTGTTGCTTCTGGCCACATACATAATCATAATGGGCATACATATGTTGAGCCATTTCGACCTCACTGGTCACATCAATGCTGATGTTATGTCCCTACAGATATAACTGTTGTGCTAAAGACAGACACTCAACACTGAGCACTCGCAGAAAGTCATGGCAAAAGTAGTGAAGTGAGTAACTCAACACCTGACCTTAGTGTTTCCCTTCCACTCTCCATAATCACACCCATAACTGCTACAAGCCTTAAGATTCCCCTCAAAGTCATGCTGCCCTAATAGTTTGGGACAAGTTTGCACATTTAATGCATGCCAGCAAGTTTCAAGCTGGGGTAAGTAGCTGTATTTTCACAAGTGGAAAAAAAAGGCTTAAGTTTTGCTGCTGCAGTACTCTAATGTAATATTAATTTCGAAGACCTATGGGGGAAGGGCAGAGGGAGGAGACACCACTTGTCCATTGAACAGTCTACACTTAAAATGCTGCAGTGGCACAGCTATTAGCACTTCAGTAAAGACCCTACTACACCGACGCAAACCAATTCACCTCCGTGAGAAACAGTAGCTATATCAACAGGAAAAGCCCTCCTGCCGACATAGTGCTGTCTACACTGAAGGCTAGGTCAGTATAACTGCATCACTCAAGGGTGTGGATGTAACTATAGCGTAGACCTGACCTTAGTGTTTCCCTTCCACTCTCCATAATCACACCCATAACTGCTACAAGCCTTAAGATTCCCTTCAATGTTAAGACATATCCATGCAGGCTTATAGAAGAAATGTTGATATTTAGAGGTTAATTTTTCAAGAACAAGTGTACAATTATGTGCTTACTTTGTCCATATGCAAATATTACCAAACCATGTATTTGCACACACAGTAGAGGACTAGTTATGCACCAAACTGGTCATTTGTACATGCAAACTGCATTTAGTTGTGCATAACTTCATATTTTAAAAAATTAGTCCCCTAATACTGTAACAACTGGCACAAGTTTAATATTAGCCTAAAACCTATTGGTTCTATAGTAAGACTTCTTTGTGTGTGAAGATAGGCTATAGCAACTCCCATCGCATAGTCACCTTTCGGTGCTCTGCTGCTCAAACTGAGCTGTCTGAGGGCTTGTCTACATTTACAGCGGCGCAGCTGCACCAGTGCAGCTGTGCCGCTGTAGTGCTTAGTGAAAACACTACCTACACCAATGGGAGAGCTTCTAACATCAGTATAGGTACTTCACCTCCCCAGCAGGTCTCAACTATGTCAATAGGAGAAGCCCTCCGTTGACATATCACTGTCTACACATCAGTGGTTAGGTTGATATAACTACGTTGTTCAGGGGCATGGATTCTCCACACCCGAGTGAGGCAGTTAGACATTTGTTTGTAGTGTAGACCGAGGCTGAGTATGTGAAAACCTGACAGCCTCTATCTTAAGGTCCCTAGTCTTCCTTGTACAAACATATCACTTCACAGGAAAAGCAATAGTCTTAATAGCCACTGTTGCTGAACAATTGGATACCTTTATTGAATCCATGAAATAATCCACCTCCCCCACCCCCGATGTGGCCAACCCTGTTAGAGAGGTACAATTAGGAATGAAAGCTATGAAGAAAAGTGGCAAGATGAAAGAATTACAAACAGAAGTCACTAATATTGACATACAAGAAATTTCTGTAAGACAGTGGTTCTCAACCTTTTATTTATCAGGACTCTTCTCCCTGCCAGTTAGCCAAGATGGAGCTAGAATGCCCTCCCTTTTAACAATATGGGAAGGGCGGGATTGTTACCATCTCCAGGTTGAGAACCTGTGCTGCAGAAGAATCATTACCCCAATTCTACCTATCTAAAATGCATCTACCAAAAATGGAAAATTTCAGGTTCCACATATCTGATGACTATCAAGGCATGTTACAAAGCTCATCTTTTAATCTCCCAAAATTTGAAATGGGAGGAATTGTAATTAAGGTGGGAAATTGAGGGAGAAGAGGGGATTGTTTGTGGCAGGTTGTTTAAGAAATTCCTGCACTTGGTTAAGTGATTTCAAGGGTACCTGAATTATATGGACAGGAGCCCTATTTAGCATTTTTGTAAATCTGAATAGGTATCTAAAGTGATCCTTTCAGCACATA